GTGGGGGGGGGGGGGGGGGGGGGGGGGGGGGGGGGGGGGGGGGGGGGGGGGGGGGATACGAGCGAGCGAGTTTTCATGTCGTTCGCTTCGTTAGCCTCGGACGCTTTAGGAAGCTCGCAAACTTGCTGTGCGCCACATGAGCACATGATGGACCCGAGGCAGGGCAATGAATTTTTCAGTCACCGCGAGACAACGACATTCCGACTGTAGAGGAATCGCGGAATGTCGAGTGCGAGCAAACAGTGCGATCTAGAAATATACCACCGATATTTACTTAAAAGCACATTACGTCGATAAAGTCCCAAATCTCATTTCGTAAAAGGGATGAACTGGATTTTATAATAGCGCGACTTTATTAGCACAATATTTCCGATCGATCTCCGTCTTTCATCTCGTCACAATCCACCGGAGCCAGCAGCAGGATACACACGCGATCCCCTTGGAACAATTCCTGGACGCACCGAGTTGCACGGCCAATTAAATACCCTTAAGCTAAAAAGGACTCTAGCAGCCATGGAGGCCTCGAGCCTTTAGCGACAATTGATAAAAAGAAGCGATCCGGCGTTATAACGCATGCATAAACGCACCGGCGGTATGTCGAGGAGGGAGCGACCGTCGCTTCGGTTTGTTGTGGATGGCTGGCGAGAGGCGGTGGAGGAGGAGGAGGAGGAGAAAAAGGACCATAGTCGGTCGGTATGTGCGGTTCTCTTGCGTGGTCTTGTCTTCCAATTAACGTCATTGTTCCAGGCGCGTGTGTACACGCTTCCCCGGCCCGGGGCTTATACTACCTACTCGTAATCCCCTTCCCCTCTTCTACACTCTCGTTCTCGTTCGTTGTGCGGGACAAGCGACAGGACGGCAAGGGAAATCGTGGTGCGCGCCGAAGGGCCGGGAGGTCGAAGGATGATTTTGCGATGGAAAGGCTTTTGACGAATGGCTCGATAGTAATCGGTGATAGGAGCTTCGAGAATAACGATCGCTTACCAAATCATAGCCATCCTCCTCCTTTTTTTCATTTCTTTCTCACTTTTCTGTACCCCCCCCCTCCCGTGCCATAGCCATATCCACCACCATGTGCGACATACACGCTCTGTCTCTCTTTCGTATTACAGATCTAATTGTGTTTACCGGTGTGTAGCAGCGGTGGTGTCGTTGAATTGGATTTGGCCAATGATTGGAAATTGTGATTGAAATTTATTTGCCGCGACAGGCCGTGAAAAATGTCATCTATTATATCGAGACACGAATATGTTTGTTCCTCGGTTTACATAAAATCATTGCATATCTGAGGAGCCTTATTTCCTTGGCCTTCCACATACGATAAATTTCATATAAATTTATCTTACAGATTTTAGGAATGGCCAAGCGACTGGCGTTTTCCCTCTCTCTTACTCGTCGATGCGAGCGCCCTTTATTCGATATAATTTTATTTTATCGCTAATCGATGTTTAGAAATATCAGCATTACGAAATATACGATTCTAAAATTACGGGACAAATGAATCGTGACCGCGCTGATTACGATCACGGAGCAATGAAAAAGACAATTCGCTCCTAAAACGTTAAAGCACCTCGTTTTGCGCAATAAAAGCACCTTGTTCATCATTTAATAATGGGGAGCGTTTGCCGTGTACATTTGACTATTGGATTAATTAGCGCAAAAAGCACGTGAAGCGAGTGGACAGCGAACATGATGCGGCGTATTAATTAAGAGAGCCAACTGCGACTTTTAACTTATAGTTAGAAAATACCAGTGCCACGGCTCCTCGCATTTTCATTAGGAATTCGTGACAAAAGTATCGTCGGCCTCGACTCTCTCCTCTTCGTCAGGATTAATTTCATTCTCGTTGTGCTTGCGACCTCGTTCCCTCTCCTCTCTCTCTCTCTCTCTCTCTCTCTGTCATCACCCCATCACCCATCACCCATCACCCATCGCCCATGCCTGCCCCCTCATTTAGAAGGAAATAGAGAAAGATGACTGCGTGCGTGCCACGTCACCGCTACTTGGGCGCACCCGAGCGCTAAATATAATCAACAAATTTGCAAAGCGCGGCTCTGGAAGAAAACGACGATCCGTTAGACGGGCGTTGTCTCTTCACCCCTCCGCGCTTTCTTTCTAACAAATTGACAGCTTTGATTTATCAGCGCTGCATCGCTTCTTTTATTGGTACTCAATGCCGAATGGGATATAGATGAAGAAAAAAATACTCGATAGATCGTTCGTTGCTTGGACCGCCGCTGGTCTTTTCGTCTTTTACAGTGAATTTGGTCGTATCTGTGGCGGCGATTAATTTTTAGCAATATAAATACAATACAAAAGTCAATCATCAATGACTTATCGACATTTCAAAAAGCCCTTGTAGTAGACAGAGGCAATTGCAGTCTATTCGTACGCTGCAGAATATAGGCGATTAGGAGCTAAAATGAAAATTAGACGATACAAAGTACTTTAATGGTACTCGTTAGAAATCACTGTGAACGTTCGCTTTTCACCACGCGGGGCGTTTAAAAATTGCTTATCAGCTATCTCAACGTAATTCATATCGCCTATCTAATGAAAATTCATCGATCGTGCTTGCTGGACGAACACACTCTGCTCTGCATCCTTCGGCTTCCAGCCAAATTTCACTATGATTAATATATATTTTAAACTGGAGCCGTTTAGCTGAAATTTAACATATTTTCCAACTTGCCAATATCACCTCTCAATTATATCGATACGAAATGTACCCTATGGGCTTTTAAGGTCTCGTTGATCACATGATCTATAATTACGAGCGCGTTCCACGTACGATCAGCGAATGCCCGCGGCGCTGTAAATTTCAATTACTCGCGACTTACGCAGGAGCAAGCTTCTTTGTCGCGTTCCTCCTTGGCCGGCTCAAGTCTGGGGATGTGCTCCACGCCCCAAAGAGTCGGGCGTACCGAGCGAAAGGCCATGGAATCTATTTTTAAGGAGGTGAGAAACTAAGGAAAGAAGCCTCTTTGGCCGTGTCCAGAGGCAGCCGAGAGCCACTCGCCAGCTTATCTTCTCAGTTTTTTGCACTTGCGAGCGTTGCACTGCTCGCCAGAGTAATTTACGCGCGAGTGGTCGAACAAGGTCAAAGGTGGCGCTCACCGATGCGCGACTGAAAATTTTGAATTTTAACGCTTTCGTTGGGGATAGTCCATTAGGAGGATTTGCGCCAAATTTTGTCAAAGCGCTTTGACTTGCCGGCTAAGAATATTGAATGGACTTTCGCGCGATTTTCGGCTTACTATGGCTTATTTACGGAGCAGAAATTTAATCTCACAGTCTGCGCATGCGTGCTGCATAATTATAATAAGTTACAGCTAAATTTAACGATCGCTTTCATTAAACAACGAATACAATTAAATAAGCCTAAACATTTGTGGTATTTATAATATACAGGCTTTGCGGAGTTTTCGTTTTATACAAAAGTTATTTTCACATTAATATTGAAATACTTTTCTTCCTAAAAATGACCTTCCTGAATTTATTATATTGTTTGGTGAGTCCTTTTACTCTCTTAATAAAATACGAGATGTCATTTTCAAAAGCCCTTTAGATACAAAATATAATCTGCTCGTCACAAAAACTTTGGACATATATATTTTTTTTAACGAATGTAAGATGAAATATTAACATATAATTGAAATTCTTTTTCGAAAATATCTTTTAATTTTATCAAGTAATACTAATTTCTTTTTTTTTATTCATTTTACTTTATATATAAGTATTCCATAAAGCCTACTCGTCGTTTGTGTTCTTATCGTGTTACTTTAATTGTAATTAATTGCTTTATTTATCGCTTTTGAAGTTGACATTGAAGATTTTAACATAAAATGGTATTATTATGAATTAATTCATTTCAAGTATATATATATATATATATATATATATATATATATATATATATATATATAAATCCTATGTAAAAGATGTATTTCAGTTTAGTAAATGGTTCATTGTTTATTAGACTGGATTATATTATCCATTTTTCAGATTTTTTTATCCTTTTAATCCATTTATTTGAATAAGTTTTACGTATTCATATTAACGATGCAATATTTTTTATAAATAATACATTTTTAATAATATAGTAGACTTTTTTGTCACTGTATAATAAGGTATTATATATATGATTTAATGTAAGATAAATAAATGTAGAAGTAACGATAACACCCCCCCTCCCCCCACACACACACACAAACACAAACACAAACACACAAATATCAAGATAATAAATTACTCGCTCCATAAGATTATTAAAAATAATTATAAAGGACATAAAATGAACAAACATAAAAAGAATTTATATTTATTTAATCCGTTAAGCAATCAAGTTCTTCGACTAGTTCTTTATTTGAAAAAATTGTTATAATATGCTCGTCTGTTACAGATTGCAAGTTTCCACCAGCTTGGAGTGGGCGGTGGTTTCAGGACGGCAAAGAGGGTCCCGTAATAGTGAATTCAACACACTTTCTTGACAGAAAATGCAAAGCAAAAAATAGGGAAAAGTATCTTACCACGGAAGAAACGTAAGTTTATTTTTAAAAACTTGTTCAACAAACTTTAGCGAAAATGAAACTTTTGGCTCGGTCACTTTCTCACTACTAGTATTTATTTATTTATTTATTTATTTATTTATTTAGTGATATATTTTTATTTTTTAATATATATAAAAATCATATTGCAATAAATTATCAACGAATAATAAATTATCAATTAAAATGTTTGAAAGATCGAATCATTATATTCGAATGGACATAATTAATTATATAACTTGTGCGTCATTTTGTAATCATTTGCGCTCGTAGCCAATAAGCCAACTGTGTATAGAAAGTATTTTTAAGATATTTAGAAAGAACTTGTTACGCCTTGTTAAGCCTACGAAGTTTAGATTACGTGTAAAGATAGGCGTAAGATTATAAAAATTTTATTAAAAATTGCCTTTATCTGTGTTGTTTTCAGCGATGGAACCGGTATTTGCAACCGATGTATGGTCTTTACTGACAAGCATGTCAACGTTCTGCAATATCGTGAATGTAAGTCAATTCCATTTACTTGCATGAAGCATGCGATACACGTAAAAGCAGTTAGAGATATGAGCGGCAATATAACTCTCACCTTTTCCTTCGCGGCATGAAACTGTGCACTTTAATCAGATTGTTATAGATGGTATGGCTTTTATATGGGCAACGGAAACGCTGATTTTATTATTAAAATATAAAAAAATATATCATATATATGCATATAAATATACATAGTATTATGCTTTCATTTTAGTAGTATTTTAGTTTTTAGATAAAGAGTTTTAATAGTAATGATATTGTTATTAAAACACACAAATATACAAACAAACAGAAGGTTATTTATTTTATTACAATTAGATAATTAAATAATATTCCTGATTAATATCAACCGTTACTTAGGCATAGGATTATTTCATGCAAAGCAAGATTTTTTTCTTTTACATTGAAATCCATTTTATGTGTTTCAAATGTGTTTCGTAACGCTTGGGTGGGCGAGTAGCATTTTTTCAAAAGCATTTAATTGATTTTTTTCAATTATACAAAAATCTTACTGTGCTTCACAGAAAGAAAAAAAAGAAGAAGAATTTTAATTAAAAGCAGCTTCCATAAAAGAGGATAATTATTTATTATTACGCAAGGCATTTAAAATAATTCAGAAATTGATAAGCATATAATTAAGTCCGTTGGACGCGCATGGCTAGGCATTTTTCCCGAAGAATTTTCACAGGGAACTGGGAATATGTATTTAATAAATAAAGCATAATATAGTGCCAATAAAGAAGGAGAGAAAAATGGCCTTTCGAGCAAGATAATGCCGTATTGTCGAGGAGCTTGAAAGGCTTCTTGTAATTATTTTAACAAGCCTATTAAAACTAAATGATTCTTCTGATTCTGAAATATGTACTTTGCGGAAGTGCTGCTGCATGAGTAGCGAGTGATCCATCCTGTAAGCTCCTAATTTTTTCATCAAAATATGTATTAGCTTTTTTTCGCTTCTCCGCGCCGTTCTCCTCGGTGCGCACGCGCGCACTCCCTTTTTATCCCTTTACGCTCGCCCGCTTTAAAAGCATAAAAACGCTCTTCGTTATATCGCCGTCCGCTACGTTAGTCCTGCCACGCGAGGCCGGCGATTAAAAGGACGTCCCTATTAATTATGGCCGCGGCGCCGCGTTTCATCGTCCCACTTGGAAAAGTTCGGTGCAGTGAGAAAAGATTCGTGCAAAAATGAGCTCGGCGTAGTCGAGAAAAACGTTGTATCTCAGGTCTCGGCCGCGGGGAGCTTTGAAAAAGGATACTGTAAGGATTTTCTCGAGAGGGTGAGGGAGGGACAGCCGGCCGGGGTTAATAATAATTCTGCTCCTGTCGTTCTCGATGCAAGCGTTATACGTACGTGGCGCATCACCATCGTTAAAAACTCATAAACTCGGACAAATGCGTCGGCCATGTGTCGTCGCTTCGTACCCACATAACGTAAAGTCGTATAATATCGCGGGTTGGAAGGGAGCGAGATAGAGATAGAGAGAGAGATAGAGAGAGATAGAGATAGAGAGAGAGAGAGAGAGAGAGAGAGAAATGCTGTCGGCAATATGGATTCGGACATCCGTTCGCCACTGCTTTTACTCCCGATTTCGCAGTTTCGAGTGCGTCCACATTTTGTCGGGCTTGTACTTGCTGTGCCTGGCACTCGACGAAAATTGCTAATTTCGCCACGGTGCTGTTATTTTGCACGCTGTTTCAACAATCGTTATTGTGTTTTATCGAAATTCGGTAACCGAGCATCGACTCAATGACCACGAATGTGTCATTTATGCGAGGAAAGATCGTCAATTCGTAGCTTTCGGTCTTGTCGACTAGATTTTATCTTGTTTCTATTTTTTTTTTTTTTTTTTTTTTTTTTTTTTTTTTTTTTTTTTGTTCTATTTTTATAACTCCCTCGCCTCCAATTAATAATAAAGAAACGATAGATGCTTTGGCATTATTGTTGTCCTTTGTAAATAATGCACCCTCCTTATAATTTAAAAGGCAATGTGCCAATGCGGCATTGTGTATATTGGAATGTTGTGATTATATTATACGAAAATCTCTAAAATGCCGTGCACTTAAATACGATAAATTTAATTTATTTCAATATAATTACAATCGAATTTTATTGGAATATAATAAAACGATCAGCTGGAAATTGCTTATTTCGCAAATTACAATTATAAAATCTTAATTAAAAGCTGAAGGGATCGTTTTATATGATACTAGGGAAGTTGAATAAGATAAGGAAAAAAAAGAAAGAGAAAAAAGATGGAAAGGTAAATGTAGTGATCGTAGTGCTGAGCAAATTGATGAATGGCTTGAAACTTTATTTAAACACTTCATTTACGAGCTTGTAGTGGTGTAGTTATAGCTCGATTAATTTCAAATGCAAAATGCCGGCTTAAGGTTTGAATGATCGACGCATTATTTTAAAATTCCTATTTTTCTATTAATATATCGACGACTGATTACAATCCCCACCCGTTCAATTTAACAATTCGGACCGAAGATTACCAAATGCACTTTGATTGATATCCTACTTTTGCCTCTGCCTGTGCACACGTACACGCGTATGCTTACTACACACGTACACGTAAAATTTCATAGTTCCATTGAAATTTTCAAAACTTGATTAAGATTTTATAATTGAATTATGCCCTCGCGTATTAGATACAAGCATAAAAGTATGTATGAAGAGATGAAGGCAGATCGCTTTTCCTCGAAGTTAATATTGCAAAATGACGACAAAGTCCCTTTCTTGCAGAGTGTCGCGGCATTTACACGTAAAATGCTTGGTACGTAGGCACTCGAACATGCTCCCCAGTATGCATCTATCTGCCTCTCGCTTTTAAGCGAAAGGTATACATTGTCATCTGGAGACAAGTATCCTAATGGTTTATCAGTGAAGGCACGTCGAGAGGAAAAACTTTTTAGCACCTTATCCCATATATATATATATATATATATATATATATATATATATATAAATGACGCCCAAGCAAGACAAAGCCGTTTTCAAATGCATTTTCAAATGCGCATAGAGTTCTTAAGGAGTGAGAATGTTATCTTATTTACGAGTGTAATTCGTGCATTGTATTTCACGAAACTTAAGCTTCGGCAATTTATTTATTGATGTTGTCAAGCAATGTAGTTCTTATTAAAAGAGACTCGGACGTATTAGTGTGTCGCATAAATTTGATATACTGAAATAGAAATTTGCGCATATATGAATTTTTTGTTTTATTAGAATATTGAGATATGTCATCGTTGTTCATTTCTGTCATATTTACTTAATTATTCGTTTATGCTTATGTTTAGACATATAGTTGTTTTTATGAATTTTGGTGAACGCATTGGTCCGTACGTATGGTTATGCGTAGGTATTTAATGTATGCGTTAATTACTCGTCCAACGACATGCATATATAATTACGATATTTACTACTTAGTCTTAGTTACACGGGATTATAGATTGGAGGGAAAAAAGAACCGATAGGGAAACTGGAAAAGGCCTATATAAGTGGAAAAGAAATAATCTGCATAGGTAGGTCAAATCAGTCGCGAGTAAATGCCGTGTAAAACATGATACCTTGTTGAATAAAAGTAGTAAATGAATAAGAAATTGCAAATCCTTTTTATGCGTTTTTAGCAGAATTAAAACGTAATTTAAAGGCCTTCATAATGAGAAATTTGAAGAGAGAGAGAGAGAGAGGGAGATATATAATGCTAAAGTTGAATATTTAAAAGTTTAAGGCCATAATTATTATTATAGGCTTGGCTAATCTTTTGCGATATTAAAGATGCTCTGAATAATCTTAAAGGCCGAAGTTGTTTATGCTGTATGACATCATCAACGAAAATGCTATGCATCATTTTTACTTGAATTATTTATTTTTGAAAAGAACAATAAGAAAGAAAAAAAAAAATTAAAAACAAGTCGAAGTTAATTAAGCGTTTAAATTCCATTTCACCGCACGTAAGATTTTCAATTTTACATTTACGAAAATTATTACCATAGTTTATGACGATAATATCATATTAATTAGTCTAATACAACGTATAATTATAATGGTTAATATAATTATATATAACCATTTGATATTTATGATTAGATCGAAAAATATTATCATTATAAATATTGAAATTCGTATATTTAACAACGCATACATAAAAATTACTTATATAAATATAAAAGACAAAAAAAGCTCATTAATATTCATGAATGTCTATTGTGTAAATTCTATTTAGTGATGTCACTTTAATTTCATTGAATTTTTATAAATATAAATATGCCATTAGATAAATAAAAGTTTATTAAGTAATAAATGCGATTAAAAAAATCGCAGACTAAACGGTAGCTCGCTAAACGTGGCTATGCATATTTTAAAAGTTCCTGATAAATCAGTCAACGGATGAAGTAATATGTTATTTTGATTTTCTAATAGAAACAAAATTTAATCATGATTAAGGGCTTATCTAAAAAAAAAGAAAAAAAGAGAGAGAGAGAGAAAAACGCCATTTACCAAGCATAAATAGTATAATAATTATAATAATTATATATTGGTCTCACTTACAAATGCCCAATTTATGAAATCTATATAATTACTACATTTTAATTTGTTATTTTTTTAAGAAATATTATAATAATTAAGTTTCGTTGAAAGTATTTGGGATAATAACTATCTTATAATAAATTATAATACACAATGAATAAAATATGGCTATCACTCTATGAACAATCACAAAGAAATTGAATTTTCATAAATTGAATAAGATGTAAATAAAGGTAATAAGTAATTATGAGTTATTGGTAAAATAAATAAACAATTTATTATTTATTGTAAAAGTAACAGAAAGGGGCGGGCAGAGGGGGGGGGGCGACCAAGAAATCATGAAACTTTTAAATAATAGAATATATATAGGAGTATGGGATATTAAAGGCTGCTAATGTAAAAAGAAAAAAGTTTGCTATTCATTTTCATTCTATGTAACTGCATATTAAAATAACGGATTGTTACATGGGCAATTGAAATAGGATAATACACATTTCAATTGATTTAATCGAGTTTACTATAAAATTATTTCCTCAT